TTGTATACGGTGCCAGGTACCACAGCTCTTCATGCTCGAGCCCTGTTTATCATGAAGTAAATCTGCCCGCGAGGAGTTGGTGAACCCCTGCGCTGAAGGTAGACGTGCATCGTCTGAAGCTCCTGCAACACAGCCACTTCGGGGGGTGGAGAAGTGCCGCGCTGCTGCGTGCGCTCAAAGTCTTTCTGAATCGGATTCATCTGGCCACTGAAAAATGCTTTAGTGCCTGCAGCAGCTGCTGAAATTAGGAGGAAATGAAATACCTTCTTCTGGATTAGATATTGCAAAATCTTTCATTCCACCCTGTGTGAAAGTTCAACTGTTTCCTTTGTTTATGAGGTGAAGGATATTTTTGTCAACTCCAGTGTCTGCTTTTTTTTTTTTTTATAATTTTTAAATAAGGGCCTGTTTATTTATTGGAAATCTAAAACCTCTTTGTACTCTTAAAATCAGCTTTTAGCAGCTGAGCTTTTCATTAAAGGTGCTGATAGGTCATGTGTTATCACCGGTGACCTTCGAGCACAGTAAAGGGCAGGTTTTGATCCTGAAGCTGATGGTGGGAAAAGATGAAGCTCTCCTACCGGCGTCGTTCCAGGCGATGGCCTCCTGTGGCTCCTTTCCATATCTCTTTCTTGCAGCTGTAGTATCTCAAGGGTGGTTTGAGGACTTTTTCTGTCTTTACCTTTCCCTGGTCAGCGAATCTAACCAACAGCAGTTCCTCCTGTGCTGGGCACAGAAAGAGAAACGCATGGTATAGAGTCCCACACGTCTCAGCCATGAGATGTACAGGTCACTAACCAGCCCGGACCTCACTTCTGTGCGTGGTAAAGGATATTCATAATATGGTTCCTTCTCTCTTTCGTGTGTGCCTGTTTGTGACAAGGCCGTTGCTTGTTAGACTTTGAAAATGGCTGTGGTGGAGCCAGTGAAGAGCTGCCTTTGGCTACCCCGAGCGCTCAAACTCTACTTGTGGCTCTTGTCGGACGTAGTGAGGGCTGGTCCAGGCACTCCTGCTGCTTAGGCTGCTCTACTCCGGTTAAACACACCGGATTCAGTTATTCCTGATCCATGCTCAAATGAAAAGAAAGCCAGACCCTCAGTGTTTATTTGTCATAGACATTTTACACATAGTGGAGTGAAGCTGGTCTGGGAATGGAAACAGCAGAGGGGAGGTGGCCAGGAGGACTCCTTGAAGCCACTGGATGACCTAACCTGTCCTTCAGACCTCTTTGGGGCAGGGACTCTGGTGTGACTCCCCATGACTACACCTTCATCGCTTTCTGTGACACAAACAGTATTTCACGTACCCAGAGCAGCTGTTCATGGCAATCGCGATGTTCCTGGAGTAGCAGGAGGCAGAGCTCCACCTTTGTGAGATGTGCGTGGCTTTCTTCAAACAGGCTGCAAAACAGCCGCAGTTATTATGGAGGAAAACTTGTGTCTCCTCAGTCTTGTCGAAATTGGACAGTCTCCTCCTATATATTGTTAATTTATGATCTCTTTTGTACCTCTTTTGTACCTTGCAAAAACAACTAAAGAAAAAAGTAACCGCTGACCACAAAAAGTATGTAAAGAAATACTGATGATGAAATAGCAGCACCCAGCAGTACTTGATGAGTTTTACTTTTTCTGGGCAGACCACTCCTACACTTCAGTTAATAATTACACATAAAAAGGTTCCAATTTATGGTAGAATGAGATGGAAGTAGTAGAAGACGCAAAGTAAACTCGATGTAATGTCAGGAAAATGGTATTTAGTTTCATGTTTTTATAAGTGCGCTCAGATGTATCCTGCAAAGAAGTGAATTAATGGCCTCTTCTAATCAGTTATCCATTCTTCCCAACAGAAATGGCCCTGACCAGTCAGGGTTTCACAAAGGAAGTGCAGTAACGCTGCTGAGGAGTGCTTCTGCTGATCCAGACGCAGTCTGGCACAGCCCTGCCTTCGGTTTCACAGGTATCATCACTTTAGACTAATGTGATGTGACTCATTAGATCAATCTCTTGAGCAGACAGTTTCTTGACATCAAACTTGATAACAACAAGGCAACGATACGGCTGTAACAACTGCAGAACCTTGAACCGAGCTCTCCGGGATGACACCAGAAGTGGTGTTATCTCCGAGTAGTGCCTGGTCATTGTACCGTGCCGTACCTCTGTTCTGCATTGCAGTGACTTTTGCTTCTGCAATACGCTTTCTCAGTAACTAATTAGTGAGTTTTGAGTAGTTTTGCTCATGCTTTGCTTTATCCGAGATCCCTGTCACCAGCCAATCTCCCCCAGAAAATCGTCTCTCCGAACTGCATGGCTGGCTCTTCAGCTTCAGGTGACCTGCCAACCTCCACACGGTTTCACCTTCCTGTTGTAACATTTCACTCTGTGTTTTCCATGCCTCCCTTCTGCATGAATTCCTTCAGAATGGTGAAATACGGCAAAGCCTCTGGAACTAGCAATTGCCAAAACTAAGGCTGTTTCCTACTCTTCTTGCTTTCACCGACACCTGCAGTACCTGCCGACGGGGAGTGATGTGCTGTCTGAACCTCCCCGGCCATCTCCTGTGCCTACAGAGATTGCGGTTCCTCAAAGATCTTAATTGTCTTTGGCTTTTCCCATCCAGGGAAAATATGTTTAAGCCTTTATGCTTGTGGTTTGTGTTTACTCTGAGACAGGAAATCAATCAATCAAATGTGCCTCATTGAGAGCCTTGGTTCCAGCTATTGCTGAGAGCCGCCTAACAGAGCCATGTCAAGGGAAAGCTTGACCCCGGCTCGGCTGCCAAGGAGAAGCCTGGGAGGGTGGGTGTGATGACCGGGAGTCGGTGAAGGGTTTTGCCACCTAGGAGACTGGTAGTTTCTAGATAAGCACAATCATAAAGAATAAACTCACTGGATGAAGTGGTTTCCTCTCTCTCCATTAAAACCTTGTGTTTCGAGCCAGGTAGATTTAACAGCATGTGCTTTTTGCTGGACCCTCTGTGACCAGGGGGATGGAGGATCCGATTCCGGGGCTGTAGAGGACAAGCAGCTGCTTTGCATCACCTTTTTGTAGGGCAGCTCCTGTGTGGTTTCGTGAGCCAGGAAGTGTCCCGGAGATGCCAACAAAGGGGTTTTCCCACCAAACCTGCACATGGGGCCGAAGTGCTCTCTGTATAACTTTGCCTTCCCAACGGAGGATAGACATCCAGGAGCAATAGATTGAACTGCAATAAAAACATTTCCTTTGTTCCCAGAAACTGCCATCCTGCTGTGCAGGAGCAGCCTCATGTGCTCATGAAATACAAACCATGGCCCTACTCACCGTACATTGTAGCCATCCAGAGGGAATCTTGTTTGGTTTCTTGTTCAGATTCTGAGGGGGGGTTTGGTAGATGAAAAATCATCCACAGCTGTTGCTGAGGGTTTTAAGAAGGCAGGTGTGATTGGAAAATGAAAGGGAAGGCAAGGCTGAGCCTCTCAATTTCGGCTTCAATAATGATAATGGTTCAATTTAGGCTTCATCAAAGAAGAAGGGGAGGGAGGACAGAGAAGGCAGTTTGATCACATGAAGCCCCTCGGCCAAGTCATAACCTGAGGCACGCTAAAGGCAGCAGTTCAGGGAAAGGACAGGCTTTCCAGGGTGTAATTACCATTCCTGCGGTGCCGCTGGGCAGTGAGGAGCTGGTCCATGGGAAGAGCTGCTGGTCGCCCTGGGTGGGTATGGACACCTGGCTTGATGCGGGACAGAGCACAGGGCACTTGGAGCTGCGTTTCCATTGTGTCGTTACACCTGAGAAGCTTTGGGACTTTTTCAGTTACATCCCAGGGATGCGTTTGTTCATCCTTTGATCCTGCAACGTAGGCATCAGCATCTCCCGCTAATTTCTGAGAGCACACAAAGGTTGACATCCCTACCAGACATCCCTTTGAAGTGAAATACCTTAGCAGATAGGACAAAGCAGTGAGGAAGAAATTTGTAACAGCTAGCATGCATGTAAAGTTGTGCCTGATTTGTGCTTTACGACGAGCCATGTTCTTAATCAGTTTTTGGTACTAGTGTGAGCACAGCCCAAGCTGCAGGGAGCTCAGACAGGCGCGTCTGTGCAATATAGCCATAACTGCAACACGTCCATACCTGGAAATGTACTTCAGTTCGCAGCAGGTGTTGCTGCCCCAGTGACCTCCCCGACACCCAGGGATGATAAACAGACCCTAGTAAGGATGTGATAAGATACCTCTTCTCCTTGGCTCTCTGAACTATGCCCCTGCTGTCTGCACCCGGGAGTACTTGCACGATAAAAGCAAGGAGGCAGGTAAGAGGCACACGGTAGTTTGCCACATTACGGAATTTCTGTCAGTGTTACTGGGTGGAGGAGGAAGCGTGGAACGCCTGCGCCCTGCCTCCTGCTCCAGCGTATTTAACCACGGGAGTCGTGCCCGGAGCCACATCTCTGCTCAGCCGCCAGCTGCCCTGGGGAGGGAGGAGCAGGCTTGGGGAAGATGAGCTGTGGAAGGTACCCAGTGGATGTGAAGGCTGTAGGCTTGATGCAATGCAGAAAGCAGAAGGTACTTTAATGGTTTTTTTGCTGGATTTTTTTTTTTCTCCTTAAATATTTACAAGTCGGGAAACTAGAGGGCTTTTTGAGTTTCCCTTGCAGGGGTATAACTGCTTATTTCCCCATAGTGTTGGGATTAGAGCCTTGTGATCTAGGACAGGGGCCTTGGACTTGTTTTTTAATGGTCTGAATATCGTAAGAAAATGGTTATCTTGGATGCTGCTGTCTTTCTGTTCACAGTGTCATAAATTTCTTCTGCTTTTAACAATGATTACCCATTTGGGGCCCTAAAATTAAGGAAATATTTTTGTAGGTTTAATGTTTAATTTAGTTTTTTAATGTGACAATCTTGCAGCCTGAAGCCAGAACAAAACCACAGGTCCTGGCAAATGCCAATTGCTTGAAAGCATCCAACATTGAACACTGTAATTTAAAAATGCACTTTTCCCTTTTATTTTTCCAGAACTACATGATGTTTGTGTCTTGGTCAGATCAGAACAACATTCTCATCTACCGGACATTTGAAGACTTTAAGAGATTCCATGTAAGTGAATAGTTCCCTGAAAATAGGGTTCCCGCCCTGGGGAGGGGGGGAAGGAGTCCAACGGTGTGTCAGGGCTGCGAAGCACCACTATTCTCTGCTTCTCCTTGCTTTTAGAGAGAGCTAAAGAGAAAATTCCCCATCGAGAGCGGCTCACTTAGGAAATCTGACCGGACAATACCCAGGTTTAAAGGTAAGGAGAACAAATCTCTGATGGGCCAAGAAACAGGACGGAGCTGTCAAGGACAGTCGTAACTGATGACATAGACTTCAGTCTCCAAATCTGACCTTCCTCTGGAGCAGCTCGCTCCTGCTTGTGGCATGGTACTGCTTGGTTACATCAACGTGCTTGGGTCTATTATGGACTTAAAATAACTTAAAAATATTTTTTAATAGATAATTGCACATGGTAAATTAATATTATACTTTAAATATTGGCCCAGAGCTCCGTGCAACATTTACATGTGTACAAAGATGAATTTAAGATATTAAAAAAATTACATCAGGCTCTATTAAAAACAATAGGGAGTCACAGGCAGCTGCTGTCTTGGATTCTTAGAGTTTAGACTTGTGCAGGGAAGGGCGGTAGGTGAGAGCACCCCACATTCAGGCAAAAGACGCCTGCTCTCAAGGCATGCAGATCCCTTATTGTCTTACACCAGCTTTACTCTTGTTATTTTAAAGACGCAAATATGAAGCAGAGGAAGAGTGGGAAGCTGAACAGGTGCCTGGAGATACTGAAACTGCTGGAAACTTACTCCCAGGAGCTGCTGAAAATGGATGCTAAAATCTCCCAGGGTGAAGACGTGGTTCAGTTTTTCAAGGCACAGACCCAAGACCTAGATCCCTCCTTTCCTGAAAAGAGGTATGAAATCATATTTGTATTTTTTGTTTATACGTGTCTTCATGAAACAGAAGTGTTAGAGAATACGGGTAGAAGAGAAACAACAGTTACATACCAGGGCAGCAGAGCAGGGAAGTTCTACTGAATGCTTTAATGCATATTTATGTTGTTGCTGATGCCTAAGCTTTTCTTAGCCTACTGCATAGATGATTTTACCACAAATAATACTAAACTCAACCTTCCATGTAAGTTTTTAGTAAACAATATTAAACTTTACTTTTCAGTGTTGTGATAATGCCATCAGAAATTGGAGGGGAAAAGAAAAGCCAGCCACGGCAGCAGCTCTCCTCCATTACACACCCCCAGGCATCCCAGAGCTACAGATGCATAGAAACCTTTGAAACCAAAGACACGAAGAACAAGACTTTCAAAGTCGCTAAGGAGGAAATTATTGAGGTCTTAATCAAGGACATGACTGGTATGTGTGATAGGGATTCTTCAGTTTCAGGGATGGATGGTGTAGATTGATTCATAGCCTGGCAAATGCCAAGTCAGTGGCATCACAGGTGCGGGTAGATGTTGGTACATGAGGTGTGCATACCTGGATTTATGTGGGAGGAAAGAACAAAGCGTCAGCAGGGCATCAGCCAGGCACTGAGCTGCTCTGCAGAATGTCCTTCCTCTCTTGTGGCAGAGCAGTCCCTACCCAGGGATTGTGGTCATCTGTTGACTTGCAGGCTGTTAAAAACTTTCTTCCCCCCCACATTTGCTTCAGGATGGTGGCTAGTGGAAAACGCAGACAAGCAGATAGCCTGGTTCCCAGCCTCGTACCTGGAAGAGACTGACGTTCACAAGGACATCCAGAATGCCTCGAGCTCAAACGAGGAGGGTAAGTCTGCTTCTGGCTCCCTGGGACACCACAGTCCTCCTTCAAAAAACAAGTTCTACAAAAGCCCCACCACTTTAACCACTGCTTGGAGTGCCTGCCTGGACCTCTGATGCTTCTGGTCAGCTCTGCCACCAGCTGTGGGTCTCTGAGCAAATCAGTCACAGGGACACATGCCCTGCAGCTCTTGCTTGCTCCGCAGGGCTGCTGAACTGCTCTGTCACAGGGACGGAGACATTTTCTCCACAAGGCAAAACCAACCTCCCCCTTCTCTCTGCAGGTAGCCTGTACTTTGTTGTGCGAGCCTATGAGTCTCAGAAGGCAGACGAGCTCTCACTGAACAATGGCGTCGTGGTGGAGGTGGTCAGGAAGTCTGACGATGGCTGGTGGCTGATCCAGTAAGGAGGCTTTTCTGAAGCTCTTGTTCCCCAAGGGAGCCAGTTATCTGCTGCAGGTGCTTCTTGCCTGCTCCTCCCCAAGCAGGGGGCAGAGGAGCTCTCCCCGGGTTGACTGCCCTTGGCTAGGGACAGTTTTCCCCTTCCTCATGCCCCGTGTACAGCACTGGGCTGAGTCCTCACCTGCTTCCCGAGTGCTCTGCTCCCTCCCCCCTGGTTTGAGCTGGAAGGGCTCTTTTCAGTGTTGCTTTTCATCCTTCCCCCTCAGATACAATGGCCGCACCGGCTACATGCCCTCCATGTGCCTCCAGCCCTACAAGAATCCTCACCACAAGCTCCAGACCATCATGAGCTGCGGGCTCAATATCTCCACCCCGAACCTCTACTCCTCCCTGACGGCTCCCCAGCCCCGGGGCGAGGCTGCGGGACAGCGCAGGGTACAGGCTCGCTCTTCCCTTGACCGGACTGAAGAGGATGTGAGCTCTCTGAGAAGCAGATCAAGGTCTCTGCCCAGGGCCAGCTCCACCTCGGACCTGGAGTCAGACAGCTCGTCCCTCAGCTCGGGGAGCAGCAGCGAGCGGGACGGCCAGCTGAGCTGGAAGCCTGACTTGTCAAGATCTCTGCCCGAAGTCAAGCAGGCCAGGAGCCCTCCCCTGCGGCATGCCTTGGCCACACACAGCAGCGAGTCTCCACACCTCACCCACAAGGACAGGAACGATTCTGGCTTTGTGGAATCTGCAGCTGACCTACCTCCCTCCCTCACTGACCCAGACATGGCCACTTGCGTCCCCAAGGTTCCCGTGCGCCCTTCAGCCCATGAGATCCTCCAGAAGTGCAGCACCGTCACAAAGCGAGCCGTGCAGCAGTCTGCCTCCCGGCCGGCCCTCAAGACTCTGCTCCCTCTCCCCAGCATGCACTAGTGCCCCCAGGGGGGGCACAGACCCAGCCCCGGACCAGCACCACCACTGAGAGCCAGGCACCCTCCTCACTGAAGTCCCACAGGAGCCGTGGGCAGTGGCGTGGGGAGCGTCAGGGCTTGGGACTTGTGGCTTTCCAAGGACACAGTCAGATCCTGACGGAACACGCATGCAAACATTGCTTCCATGGGCAATGCCGATTGGTGCTGCAGCTTGTGCAGGGAGGCTGGGGAGCCTGGAGGGGCTTTACTGGAGATAGGAGAGGATTTAGTGGTTTAACTTGTCAGGGGAGTCATGGCAGCTGCAGATCTGGCAGCTCCCGTGTAAGTTAGAGGTCACTTCAGATTCAGTTACTTCTCCCTCAGGCAGGTATTTATCCTGCGTTGTAGTATGTGAAAATTTCACAATCCTTCTTGCATTATTCCCCAGACGAGGCCGGCTGGCAGATTGCTGCAGCCACCCTGGGGAACAGCAGAGTGAAACCCAGAGTAAGTGACAGAGTCACCCATGAAATCCAGAGCTGTAACTACTGGTATGGGGTAGGGATGGGACGACATAGCCACATGAATGCCATTTTTCTGAATCCCTTTTTTTTTTCTTAAACTCTTTGATTTTTGGTGTTTGGGGGGTTTTTATTGTGTTCTTTTATAAAGGTTAGATTAACTTGAGTAGTGGATAACTGGCCAAATATATGAATCAGGTGGATCTGCTGAATGGCTGTGAGAACAAAAATACCTGTTGGCTAGAAACTTCATCTCTGACCATTCCCTACAGCGATGTCTGTGCAGGCACGGAAACAAAAATGGTTGTAGTACAGCTTGTTTCCCAAGTGGGTAAGGGGGCCAGAGCCCATTTTTATGTAAATTATGAAACATTCCTCTCTCAAGGGGGTCTGACAGCTACTGAAACTCACAGCAATTGTCATCCTAAACTCATTTGCTAGAATTGAGTTAGCAAAATAGGTATAGGAAAACTTAAGACTTTTATATAGATTGCTACCTTTAATTTTAGTTATTCTCCCAGGTATCTGTTAATTTTGTTTGAAACAAGCAATTTAACCAATTTGTGAGGTGTTTATGTTGTTCAAATTTTTATACATTTTTATCTCAAATAAAATACACAAAAATATCTATGAAGACTGCTTGGTTTTTATACTTCAAAAAATTGCTAGCTGGGGAATTAAACATTAGCCCAGGTGCTAACATTTGGGGTGGGCACAGGTGAGACACCTGCCTTGGCCCAGCCTGCATTTTGCCCAAGCAAAGAAAATATTCCATGTCACAACACTGACCAATACACACTGCCTAGCTGGGCTTTGGGATACAATATGACATTGCCGGTAGTTTCTCTCAACTCCATAAAGCTTTAAATACACAATAATGACCCACTGCTTGTTCAGAGCCAGGTTCTGCCTTTTCTCCAAACTAAGTGCTGTTTAAGTGTCTGGGCCTGAAAATTCAGGGTGTGAAAATACAAAGGGAAACCACAGCTTGGCCAAAGAAATGACCCCTTCCTCTCATTAAGCCCCAAGGAGACTGAATGCCGCACTTGTCTTAAAAATTCAAACTTTAACAATTTATTACAAAATACAGAAATAGTCCAGTTGCTGTACCTGGTGGGAAAGCAGTTCAGACTCTCCCCTCCTGAAAGAGCAACTGGTGGGAGGAGGGTCACAAAGTCATGTCTTCCTGCTGGGACACATCAGCCAGCCTCATGTTTTGCCACATGAAATCAATGAACATGGAGGCCTGTAGCAATCGGCTCAGTCTCTGGAAATGGCGCTCTGCAAAGAGAAACGCAATGGTTAGCGTCACAGGAGAGAAAGCTCATCAGAATGATGAGCAAAAATCTCTCTTCTCTTCAGACAAAGGCAAACAGGGAATATTCACAACGCAGGAGGAGACCTCAGGCTCATGGCCCATCCCTGCAGCACGACTCACCGGTGTAAGGCAGCAGGGACTCCACAGCAGATTTAATGCCTGAGTACTGCAGGAGGCTGTCCGGTGCTTCGTGCTTCAGGAGGGTTTCAATGACAGCTTGGGCTTCATGGCAGTTTCGAGAGTTCGTATTCCACGTCACCAAGAACGTTAACACCGCCTCTAGGGAGGAAGGAAATCTGTACACACTGGCTGCGCCTTGGGTGCTGGCACGCAGGAGGTGCCAGGTTAGAAAGCATCTCTTCTGTCTTAAGGAGCAGTTGAGCTCCCATACACTGCGATTGATGAGCCCGGAGGGCAGAACAATTATGCACAGAACCATTTCTGGAGCTGTCACAGTGGTAATAAGGCCAGACAAAGCCGCTCACACGATCTCAGAGCAGCTGCTGGTGTGCAGCATGAGTCGCACCGTAAGGAAGAAGCTGGCCCTGGGCAGCAGTCCTGCTTGAGGGTGGTGGGAGCTCAGTGATAAACGCTGAGTCTAGGGGCAATCCTCCCTTTGATTTCAGTTGAGAAAACAAGCTCCTAACCTGAACGGTTTTAGCACTTAAACCACCTTGCAACAAACCTTTCTGATCCTTCCGGAGCCGAACAATGTTCTCTTCCAAGTGCTTTCTCCCATCGGTTTCCTTGAGGATGGCTGCAGAAAAGAGAAATGAAGAGTCCATGCAAGAGTCCAGCCAAGGGACCCATAGGCTGAGAACAGGGATACCATTTGTTATTGGGGGGATTTCACTTAGGAAAACAGGAGTCATAAGAGAAAGGGAGACCCGATGCTTTCAGACAATTAGACTTTGTAATCTTTGTCGCCCTGGAAGAGATGTTCTGGACAGGAGAGAGGGCAGAAAAATGCCTTCAGAGTACAACGTGGACTCACCTTTGACCACCATCAACACTGTGTGCGGACGATCCAGAGAGATTGCCAGCCCTAAAGCTTTGAGGTATCTTTTCTCATGAAGCAGGTTAGAAAGCTCTTGCTCTCTGGAAAACAAATCAGGGTCAAGAGAGTGAAACAAGTATTTGGTTGGTGGGACAAAATGCTATAGAGAAAGCAGCAGATTTGGCAATAATAGCGTGCAGAGGTTTAATGCCAAGAAGTTAATATTGCTCGCCAGCGAATGCCTCAGCACCCTCATTGTGCAGATAATTACCCTGGCACGTTCAAGGGCTCCCTGAACTATTCAGTGCTGGCGGAAGCAGGAGAAAGTGAAAGTAGATTTCAATGATTTGATTTGCTTATCTTAGCAGTGCATAAACATGAAACTAATCAATTGTCAGGCTGACAGTATTATAGTAAGGCTTTGCAGAAACTAAACTACAAAGAAGAGACTACTGTGCCTTGACAGTCTCTAAATAGCTAAATGATGTAATACTCAGATTAGATAGAGCAGAATGGCTCTAGGTGTGGACAGTTTCACTGGACAGAACTTACCTTTTGCAGCTTATTATTGCACATGATCAACTTACTTCATAATCTGCTCCTCCTGTTTAGCTTGTGCCTCTTGCTCTTCAATTTCAGTGACATCCTATAAAATAAACCCAGAATATAACTTTGTCAAGTCTTGCTTTAATAGAGGTGAGCTTTTATTTCAAGTGATGAGGACACCAGTTTCTGCAGCAAGATCAAGTAATTTAAGTGTTAAATCCAGCAACTCACAACTTGCCTCCAAACACCCTATACCACCAGCACTGGGCAGGCTGTTACAGCCCATCTGCTGTTCCTTTTATATCAGTGTGTTGGTTTTGCGTGGCAAGG